AGACGTGCGATCCGAAGCAACGTACGCCCTCAGCATCTGCTCTATCGTGGCATTAAGGATTTCAGTCTGCCCATCCGTCTGGGGATGATGCGACGACGACAGAGCCATGACACTGCCGTAATTCGCTACTACGGATTTCCAAAACGCAGTGGACCAACGCTTATCGCGGTCGGCTATGATGCGCTCAGGTAAACCATAGACATTGGCTACTCTTTCCACAAATAGATCTGCAAACTGCTCTTGGCTCATAGTTTCGTGAACTGGCAGGAAGATAGCAAATTTGGTTAACTTGTCGATTACGGCGAAGATAGCGGTGTAGCCTTCTTCACCAGACGAAGGTAGGCCCGTGATGAGGTCAAGAGAGACTGTGGAGAAGGGCCTCGCTGGAATATGCGAGGGTCGAAGGCTGCCGGCTTGCGCGCGTCTATCAATTTTGATTTTCTGACAGGTGTCGCAGGACTTAGTATAGTCCATTACGTCTTTATGCATAGAGGGCCAGAAGAACAACTCTCGAAGCCTAGATAAGAATCGACGTGGTCCTGCATGTGCGCTCTCATAAGGGGAATCGTGGATCCATTTCAATACGAAATGTATCCTAGATTCCGGAACGCAGAGTCTAGCGGACCAATCCGCATCTATGAAGTAGAGTAAACCATTCTTGCTTTTGCGGAAGTGGGAGGGAGTGATGACTGTCTTTGGATTGGGAATGTCCTCTATATATTTGGGAGCGAAGTACTTGTCCTGCGGGTAACCCTGCGCGAAAGTAGCGATTACTGAGGGCTTCATAGCCACGAGGAGATGAGGTTTATTCAGCCATTCGTCGTCAAATGTTGACGAAGTGGGCTTTACTCCTATCGGGTAGGTCCAGTGATCATCAAGCGGAAAGGGCAGCTCGTCTTCGATAAGAGGGGGCTCCGTGACTGGAACCATCTCTTCGACTATTTCCGTGGGTGGAGGCTCCGTTAATGAAGGGAGTCCCTCCGTCACAGGCGTAGTTCCCACTTCTGGTTCAGTAACTGGGAATTTGCTGCGCTTATTAGCTCTGCGAGTCCTTGCATCTGCGGCAGCCAATCGATCTGCTCCC